AATTAAGTAAAAGAAAAAAAATTAGCCAGGCATGGTGGCATGCATCTGTAGTCTTAGCTACTCAGGAGGCTGAGGTGGTAGAATCACCGGAGTCTGGGAGGTAGAGGCTGCAGTGAGCTGAGATCATGCCACTGCACTCCAGCCTGGGAGACGGAACAAGACCCTGTCTCTAAAAAATAAAAATAAAAGGTTTTATTTAAGACTTTTTTCTCCCTTCTCTAGATATAATTGACCCTGCAATCCTGCGCCCGGGCCGCCTGGACAAAACACTGTTTGTGGGTTTACCACCCCCTACAGATCGCCTTGCCATCTTAAAAACTATCACAAAAGTGAGTAAAGGAAATGGTACATTTTTATATGTGTTTCCCTTGTTTTAAATAGAGACAGTTATAACAGGTAGTAATTTAGTTGACTGATTACTTTTCTGTAACTGTGTTTGGCCAGCCTGTATCTCCCAAAGGGAAGGTGAACTGATCTTCAATTATTACTTTAAAATAATTTACATCAGATCATATTTGAAATGGAGTAGAAACTTTTAGAGAAACTCTAGCACTTTGGGAGGGCGAGCTGGACAGATCTGAGCCCAGGAGTTCAGTACCAGCCTGGGCAATATAGTGAGACTCTGTCTCACTATAGATAGAAAAAATTAACCAGATATGGTGGCATCCGCCTGTAGTACCATGTACTCAGAAAGCTTAGGTGGAAGGATTGCTTGAGACCAGGAAGTCAAGTCTCCAGGGAGTTGTGATCACACCACTGCACTCCAGCCTGGGCAACAGAGTGAGACTCCGTCTGAAAACAAAAACAACAACATGTTGCACAACCTAAATATATACCATTTTTCTGTGTCAGTTTACAAAATTATTTAATCAACATTAAAAAATAAAAGTGGCCAAAAGATTTGTACAGTTACTTCACCATAGGAGTTGTACAAATGGCAAATAAACTCGTGAAAAATGCTTCACACCATTGGTCACTAGAGAAAGTCTAGAGGCAGAACCAGTTAGGAGGACTTACATTTTGCCTTGACTGAGGGTTGACGTAATCAGAGGAATGCTTGATGGAAATTGGTTAGAGGGAAGGGAGAAACCTGCCTGGTATTTGGGAGGTAGGGTGGGGTGGAGTGGTGTGGTGATCATTATCTGAGATAGGGAATCCTGGAGGAAGAGCAGTTTGGGGCCAGAAGGTGAGGTGGACTTTTCATTTTCTTAAGGAGATGTTTTATTTTTTTGTTTTTGTTTTTGAGACAGAGTCTCGCTTTGTCACCCAGGCTGGAGTGCGCTGGTATGATCTCAGCTCGTTGCAACCTCTGCCTCCCAGGTTCAAGAGATTCTCCTGCCTCAGCCTCCCAAGTAGCTGGGATTACAGGTGTGTGCTACCACACCCAGCTAATTTGTGGGGTTTTTTTAAGTAGAGACAGGGTTTTGCTATGTTGGCCAGGCTGGTTTCAAACTCCTGACCTCAGGTGATCTGCCGCCATGCGTGGCCAAAGAGATGTATTTTGATGAGTGGAAGTTTTTCATTTAAATAAAATGCAATTTATTAATTTTTTATTTTTTAAAAAGAGGTTCTTCTCATCTCATTTTAATTGCTTTTTTTTTTTTTTTTTTTTTTTTGAGACAGTATCACTCTGTTGGCCGGGCTGGAGCGCAGTGGCATGATCTCAGTTCACTGTGACCTCCGTCTCGCGGGCTCAAGCTGGCTTAAGCAATCAAGCAATTCTCCTGCCTCAGCCTCCCGAATAGGTGGGATTACAGGTGTGTGCCACCATACCCGGCTAATTTTTGTATTTTTAGTAGAGACAGGGTTTCACCATATTGGCCAGGCTGGTCTCAAACTCCTGACCTCGGGTGATCCACCCGCCTTGGCCTCCCAAAGTGCTGGGATTACTGGTGTGAGCCACCCTGCCCAGCCATTAATTGCTTTTTTTTTTTTGAGACGGAGCCTTGCTTTGTCGCCCAGGCTGGAGTGCAGTGGTGCAATCTCGGCTCCCTGCAACCTCCGCCTCCCGGGTTCACATCATTCTCCTGCCTCAGCCTCCCAAGTAGCTGGGACTACAGGCGCCCGCCATCACGCCCGGCTAATTTTTTGTATTTTTAGTAGAGACGGGGTTTCACTGTGTTAGCCAGGATGGTCTCTATCTCCTGACATCGTGATCCGCCTACTTGGCCTCCCGAAGCGCTGGGATCACAGGCATGAGCCTCCGTACCCGGCCTAATTGCATTTTTTAAAAGATTTTATTTGTTTGGTCTGAGCACAGTGGCTCACGTCTGTAATCGCAGCACTTTGGGAGGCGGAGAAGGGTGGATTGCACTCGGGATTTCAAGACTACCCTGGGCAACATGGCGAAATCCTGTCTCCACTAAAAATACAAAAATTAGCCAGCCAAATGTCGTATGTGCTCACTCATAAGTGGGAGCTAAGCTATCAGGACACAAAGCATAAGAATGATACAATGGACTTTTGCAGACTCGAGGGAAAGGGTGAGAGTGGTTGAGGAATAAAAGACTGCACACTGAGTACAGTGTGTGCTGCTCCAGTGATGGGTGCACCAAAATCTCAAAAATCACCAAATAACTTACTCATGTAGCCAAACACCACCTGTTCCCCAAAAACCTATACCATTGAAATAAAAAATTACTAACTTAAATAATTAAATTAAGTAAAAAGAAAAAAATTAGCCAGGCATGGTCGCATAGCATCTGTAGTGCTTAGCTACTGACAGGAGGCCTGAGGTGGTAAGAATGCACCGAGTCTGGGAGGGTATTGGCTCAAGTGAGCTGAGATCATATGCCCACTGCACTCCAGCCTGGGAAGAGACGGAACAAGACCCCTGTCTCTAAAAAATAAAAATAAAAGGTTTTTATTAAAGACTTTTTTCTCCCTTTCTCTAGATATAATTGACCTCCTGCAATCCATGCCGGCCCGGGCCGCCATGGACAAAACCACCTGTTGTGGGTTTTACCACCTCCTACAGAATCGCCTTGCCATCTTAAAAACTATCCACAAAAGAGTAAAGGAAAATGGTTACAATTTTTATATGTTTCCCTTGTTTTAAATAGAGACAGTTAATAGAACAGGTAGTAATTTAGTTGACTGATTACTTTCCTGTAACTGGTGTTTGGCCAGCCTGTATCTCCCAAAGGGAAGGTGAACTGATCGTCAATTATTACTTTAAAATAATTACATCAGATCATAATTTGAAATGGAAGTAGAAACTTTTTAGAGAAACTCCTAGGCACTTCTTGGGAGGGCGAGCTGGAACAGATTCTGACCCCAGGAGTTCAGTACCAGCCCCCTGGGACAATATAGGGAGACTCTGTCTCACTATAAGATAGAAAAAATTACACCAGATATGGGGGCATCCGCCTGTAGTAA